TACTTAGTTTATTTTTCCTTAATATGATATTTAACGAACGTTTTTATGTGTTTTCGGTGTTTTTTTTTTTTTTTTTTTTTCGTCATATTTGGAGTTTTCTTCTTAGTTTCGGGCGATCGCTTTAAAAAAAAAGATTAAATCACACATGGAACTAAAAGTCTTATAATCGATTTTTCGTAGTATTAAATGTATTTGTTTTTTTTTTTTTTTTACTTATATTTATTTATTTATTTCTTTTTTTCCTCTTTTTTCTAACGTTATTATAACAATAATTAATTCATTGTGCATTATTTCAATGGTATTCTTGAAAAATATTTAAAATAAACTAAAAATGAATAAAGTAATTAATTTACAAAACGAATACAACTTTAGTTAAAGACTTTTTCTTTTTTAGTATTGTTATTTAACACTCTACTCTACCCTTTGGGGATATTATGTAATATTTTGTTTGAAAAAATGTTACCTCACCATCATCGCTTCAAAAGAGGAGAAGAAGAAGGAAATTGGTTTGGTGTTTGGAGTTTTTGTTGAAAAGGCACGGCACGTAGGTGTTTTGGGAGTGTCCTTTAAACGGTTGTAATCATTTTCAAGCATTTTACAGGCGAAATATTCATTTTTGCGAACGGAAGACAGACAGACGGACATACTCAGGTACATTTCCAATTTGAAACATGTTAAGAATTTATATACTCTCTGGAGTTTTCGAAGGTTACTTTTAAGCGTTGAAAATATATTGAATAAAGAAATGAAATATTGATACCCATCGTCTATAGACATAGAATACAAGTTCAAATTTTTGCAAAACTATCTGCTGTAAAATATATGAGCGAGTAGTGAGTAAAAAATCAATTTTTCATTCTTTCCCAATTTATGATGTCCCCGTAGTAACGTAGCACTGTAGGCGTGTCCTTCAGCTGATATTTTCGGTTTCTTGATCAGAAGGCATTACACAGACGGACAGACGCAAGCGCTTAAATCGATTCAAAATTTCATCATGATCAAGAATGTAGATATTTTGTGGGGTCCCTGAAGCTTCGTTCTGGGCGTTGCAAATGAACATAGCCCGCGTCCTTCGATGATGGGCATAAAAAAGCCCTTGAAACTTTATCTAAAGACATTTAGCATCAACTGGTCATTAATTAATGGGCTAGAAAGTCACTTTATTACGATTTTTTTATTTGCATCTCTTTGCGCGACTGCCGAGACAATATTTGTAATATTTCTTTGTATTTTATATAATATATGTAATTTTTATTATAATTTTTAATATAATTGTTTTTTTTTTTTTTTTTATGTCTATATAATATTCAGGAATTTGCTTTCGTAATATATCTTCATTGGCTTAAGGAAAGGCTTATTGTAATATTGTAAATTTAAATAAATAAATTAATAGATAAATAAATAATTTATATTGAATTTTCGATCCAATGCACTAAAATATGAACATCTCTTGCTCTCAAAATTAATTTTCTATTTTTTAGCCCCATCACTCATTTAAGGTCAAAATATATCCTAAACGTAATGGCTCTCAACTGAGTTCCAATCGGTGTATAAACATGCTTAAGTCATCATATCTTAATGCAATAATCTATATATGCGTGAAATAATTATATTAATTATTTTTGTATATGAAAAGCTTATGTGGCTTTAGCTTTTTACAACAGTTTTACAATCACATACGTTATATACGTCAGAGTCATGTAAGAAGACGCTTGTAGGGCTGTTATGAGGCTTAGGGCGGGAAAAAATTAGACTCCTAAACTCCTATAAGAGATCCAATTTCCAGTATTCTAATTGAGGGAATGGCCGGAAAAGTAATTTGCATTAAAAGACTAAAACAAATAAGATTTATTTACAATTGATATAATTATTGGATGGAAAATTTTCTATAAGTTTTCTTAAAAGTTTTAACTAATTCCGCGTGTAAATAAATATGAAAATTAATTATTATTTTATTTTTTTTTTTTTTTTTACTTCATTGAAAATATCTATCCTAGAAATCAACGAAGTAAGAAAATTAAATTACGTTGAGAACGAATCTTTTACACCCATCATCGTTTACCCCCCAAAGAAGTAAAATAACAAAATGCTCATGCTCTATAATATGGAGTGGGAGCGGTTGATTTCTTCTATTTTCAAAATAAAAGTTTTCGCCGTAGAAACATATGGGTCTTGTCGGCGTGTTCTTTGAAAAGTTTAGATCAATTCCAAATTGACCTTTTGCAAATTTCTTCATTTTCGCCAGCGGGAGCATGTGTATCACAAATACTACAAAGAGACAAATGGACAGACGAACAGGCGGACATGTTTTAGTAACATTTAAGAGTTGAAACTGGGTAAGAATTTGTATACTTTATGCAGTTTTTGAAGCTTACTTTTTTTACGCGTTATAAAGATATTGAAAAAATAATTCAATTTTGATATACTATAATATTGGGTAGGCGTGGGAAATTTTTGTCCATTTTTGTGTACAAATGCTGCAGCATCGCCCATAGAATATCTGTTCAAGTTTTTATGCATTTATTTGCCATAGTTTATGAGTAATGATCAAAAAACTAATTCTTCATTTTCTTGGAAAAACAAAGGCGTTCTTAACCGATTTGGCCTATGTTTAATACGAACCTATGTGCAAGAACTACCAATGTCAAATTTGAAGTCGATAGCTTCGTTTTTGAAGCACAGAAGAATGTTTACAACAGATATACAGCATAGACAGATAGATAGACGAACATGCTTAGATCGATTTCGAATTTGATACTGATCCCGAATGGATATACTTTGTGGGGTCTCTAAAGTTTCTTTCTGGGCGTTGCAAACCTTTTGACAAAATGAATGTATCCGCTCATTCTTCGGTGATAGGTATAAAAACTGAAAGAATAATTAAAAAATAGTGACACAACATTTTTCTGATATCAAAATGCTTTCTTCTGCAAATGAAACTATTATTATACCCTGTACAATTTTCCGTAATATGCTCTTCAGTTTCCTTTAAACAATAAATTCACAAAACAACAATCAAAAGCGTATCTACGTTCCACGTCCAGAAATATTCCGAGAACAGTTGTCAGGTTATCAGTTAGTTTATGTGCGCTCGTCCATCCCTTCTTTTTTTGATATGTTGCTGGAATTTGCAAACTAACAAAAGCGACCGTAAGAAAATGTAAATTCGAACTCTTTTTGATCTTGATTGTATTCGAAAATTTGTGAAAAAAAAAAAAACAGAAGAAAAACAACAAAAAATTCCAAACAATTTTTTTTAATAATTTGCCGAAATGATAAAAGTCCTGGAAAGTATTCCCGGAAAGATGCGATTAGCCAGTCGCCAGTGGGCTTTTAGCTTAGCTTCAATTTTCTTATTTATTATACACATCACAACAGATATATCAGCTATGTTTATCCAATGATTGTACAGCATATGTAAATATGTATCGGAAAACTCGTAAAACATAATACAGTGACCAAAAAATAAATGAAACTTGGGTATTATGCAATCGTGAAACTACTTTTATTTATTTATTTTTTTGTGTATTGGTACCATTGTCTTTAACATCTATGTAGAGTTCGATATCAATATATTTAACTGCTGTGGACTTACATGTCTTTTTGCAAAGATACAAAAATGAGTTTTTTCGATTTCCACTATGTCTGTGAAGCAACGATTTCGGACTATGAAAGGACGTACGACCTGAAATAACTGACCAATCGGATAAACATCATGCTAAAGGCGACCCAAGATCGAAAAATCCAAATGCCAAAGCTTGGAACTATGTGTAAGACCTGAAATAACTGGCCGATCGGATGAACATCGTGCAAAAGGCGACCCAATATTAAAAAATCCATGCCAAAGCCGCATCATTAGCGAAAGTGGAGCTTGGATCTATATGTAAGACCTGAAATAATTGGCCGATAGGATGAACATCATGCCAAAGCCGACCCAATATTAAAAAATCCATGCCAAAGCCCCATCCTTAGCGAAAATGGATCTTGGATCTATGTGTAAGACCTGAAATAATTGACCAATCGGATGAACATCGTGCAAAAGGCGACCCAAGATTAAAAAATCCGCGTCAATGCCGCTCATAAGCCGGGGTGATGCCAAAAGTTCTCTTTGACTGTCGCGGTGTTTTGCGCTATGAATCTTTCCGACAGGTCAAACTGTTAGCATGGAATATAGGCGATAATAGGGTTTTGAACGAATAAATATATATTTTTCATTTTATAAACAAATTCGACTTAATTTTTTGGTGACACTAATACATGAATATTCTTCCAGTTTGGTCCGGTCTATTGCCTTGTGTACAAAAAAGCGATACTGACCTTAATGATTAGCTAATTAATTTTTCATTGTCGTTAAATTTAAATTAAATAATTGTTGTTCTCTCTTTTATTTAACCTGAATTCCGACTTGATAAATTTTTTAAAGCGTTAAAATTCGTTCCAGGTAACATTGATGAGATTCTTCTAAGGGAAGTTAATTCTTTTCAAGGATCTTTCTTAATAATGTGTAAATTATATTATTATATAGAATGTAATTTATTAAA